TTAAGACAGGGTCTCACTCTGTTGCCCAGGCTGAGGGCAGTGGCCCGATTGCATCATACTGCAACCTGGATCGCCTGAGCTCAAGCCATCCTCCTATCTCAGCCTCCAGAGTAGTTGGGACCACAGGTGTACGCCACCACGCCGGCTAATATAGTGCTAATTTTCACAGATCAGTTTAACTTTTCTGTTTTCTTTTTAGTGAAATTACTCAGCTTCCTCTATATGTCAAAATTTATTTCCCCATTTTTCTCAATGCCCTTGATCCCTCTTTCCCTATGCCCTTCTGTCACTTGCATTTCCATTATTTCTTCACATGTTCAATTTCTCCCTCTATTGGCTTCTTTCCCCTGGACATGCTCTTCTTGCTCAACCTAAAACTGCCACTCTATGACTCGTAAGGTCAATGTCTCTTTTCTCTCCTCAAAATTAATCTTTTCCTTCATTCACGTTCCAAGGTCTTTTTTGCCAATACTTTTTTTTTTTTTTTGCCTTTAAAGAAGCCAAAAAAGAGCTTCTGGCGCTCTTCTCTACCCAGCACCTCCCTCCCCAAATACGATTCAACACTTTCCACAAACGAGCGTTGTTGGGAATGCTTTTTCCGCAAGGGGCAGAACTACCCGCATTTCCCAACCTCGCCTTACACTACAGTCTAGGGGGGAAGAAAGGTCAGTAACAGTAGTCTAATCTCCCACAAACGGGCCTGGGACAAATTTACCCTACAAACACTCAAAACACAGTAAGTACCCTAAACACCATCTCAGATCCCCGCTTTCCAAGAACTCACGGCAGAACGGTAGTGGCTGTTGCCTGGAAGGGGCTCTATTACTCTCGTACAGTCCCCAGCCAGCACCTTCACCACGCCCGCGGCCAAAAGCGCCACCTCACAGCGGTAATCTGTCGCCACCGTGGGCAACCCCTTGATGACGCCACCGCCGCCTCCACGCACCTGAGTGACCATCCCCGAAGCTATGAAGTGGCCAAGCACTAGCCCAGCGCCATTAGGCGCGGATGCCGGGTCCCAGGGATTGGCAGTGGCCATGGCTCGGACGCACTTCCAGCGAGGGCATCCGGAGTGAGCGGGAACGCAAGGCGAACGCGCGGCGCGGCTCGATGACGTCACAGAGCGTTCCCGCCCGGGACTAAGTCGGGGAGCGAGTCCCGGCTACTGCGGGTCCTGGGTCTTCTCCTGCGGAGCGTCCGGCAGCTGAGCGGTGGGAGGCGAGTCCGGGGCTCCATGATCTTCCATAGACTCCCAGAGGCGCCTGGCTTCCTCACAGCCGCAAAGGCGGCAGGGCTTGGTGGTCGGGATATCTGTTCTTCCTCTTCTTCCTTGTCGCTCCTGGGTCGGCCCCCAGGAGCCAGGGATAGGCGGGAGATGACAGGTGGGGCAGGAGACCCTTCGGAGGCCGACGGGGTGGATAGGGCGGTGACATCTGCGCTTTCTTCCCCCAGGGACCTGAGCCGCGGCGCTAGGATGGGAAACAGTGCCCTTCGCGCTCATGTGGAAACGGCGCAGAAAACTGGTGTCTTTCAGCTTAAGGACCGAGGGCTGACCGAGGTGAGACTGGGAGGGACACGACCTAGGAACTTAAAGGAAGAGGGACGGCGGGGGCGGCGAACTTAATCGGTGTGGGATTCTCCACGCTGTGAACTCCTTTCTCCAGTTCCCCGCAGACTTGCAGAAGCTGACGAGCAATCTCAGAACCATCGACTTGTCCAACAACAAGATCGAGAGCCTACCGCCTTTGCTGATAGGAAAGTTCACTCTGCTGAAGAGCCTCTCCCTGAACAACAACAAACTGAGTATGACTCTTGCCTGGAAAGCTTTTGCTAGTGATCAGCTGTTACCAGGGGTGGTTTTCTCTTACAAGCTGATTTTTGTTTTTGTTATGAACCGTGCAGGAGGGCTCAAGTTGCAGAATGCTGAAGCCCTTGAAGCTTTCTTTCTACTTCTTGTAATTACATCTATGAGCCTCCTTGGGTGTTGTAATAATTGTTACTGGGTTAATTTGGACTTGAAAGGGAAGAACATTTTGGGGATGTAATGTAAACAAAGCTACCTAACTTGGAATTGGGGATGAAATGGGAAGGGGAGGATCTTCCAAATCTCACAGAATTGCTGTCGGATTGTGCCTGAGCCTCTTTACAAAAGGAGCCCGTTATACACAAATGCTCTCCTGCATTTTGATGGCACCTTCACCTTCTAAAGACTATGTTGGTAAAATGCAATACCTAACAATGGCACATGAGGGAATTCTACATATATTAACAAGAGGTGAGGCAGGCTGCCATAAAGTCTATAAATAAACTTCATTAAAGGTATTTTCAGCTCTATCAGATTTACATTAAAAAAAATTTTTTTTTTTGCCAGCTGTTCTGCCTGATGAGATATGCAGTCTGAAAAAACTAGAGACATTAAGCCTAAACAACAATCACCTGAGAGAGCTGCCATCTACCTTTGGGCAACTCTCTGGCCTCAAGACCCTGAGCCTCTCTGGGAACCAACTGGGAGCACTGCCTCCCCAACTTTGTACCCTACGGCACCTGGATGTGGTGGATCTCTCTAAGAACCAGATTCGAAGTATACCTGACACAGTGGGAGAGCTGCAGGTCATCGAACTCAACCTCAACCAGAATCAGGTTTAGAGCTTAAGGTTTTTTTCCTACAGCACATGTGTGGGTTCATGGTCTCCTGATAACCTCTTAACCTCTTGTTTCCTAAACCGCCATCATAGAACTAAGTGTCAGAGGCTAGATGAGAGGTTTCTTCTGTATGCCGAACTCATTTAAAAGCGCAAAGTGCTTTTAAAAAGCCAAAGTGCTTCTATAGGCTGAACTAATTTAAAAACGCAAAGAGTTAGTCGAGACGCTGGATGTTTTTATTGCGTAGGTGTTTTTGGAAGGGTAAAGTAGGTAACAGAGAGAGATCATTTCAATAAACTACTGTATCACAAATCTTGAAGAATTCTTCAAATCCTTCTCAAATATGTCCCTAACCAGCTAGCCAGGAGCTATGTTAGGGATATAGTGTGGAAATGAGGCATAAATTGAGGTTCTCAGAGTGGAGGTCAGAGGTAATTCAGTTTTGTTTTTCATTTTGTGGGGCATTTTGACATCTTTGTTAAGTGTGTCTCCTGCTTTTGCTGAAGAACATTAATTGATAGGCTTTCTGGAGATAGCTCATTTCACTGTTCAACAGCTTTAATTATAATATTTGAAATTTGTTTCCATTACTTTGGAAGCTTCAATTAATATTTGTCTGGAAAACCAATCCAAAGATTCTTGTCTAGGCATAAAGGCACAAGTGATGAAACATTAAACACTGTGAGACTGAATGGCCTTTAGTTTTCTAGTGTCTGTACTTCTAGATCTGCATGGTCCATTAAAGTAGGCACTAGATACATGTGGTTATTACTTTTCTAGATTGTAGTGATTTTACATCATAATGAAATTCAGTCTGTCTTTGAGGGATTGGCCTCATGTTTTTTACCTTAAGTGGATATTCTTGTATGTTATAGAGCTTTTTTAGGGAAAAAAACTGAATCAGTTAAGCAGCAAGTATCAGTTGAGGATTTGCTCCACATTAACCTCTGCTACTGCCTTTATACAGTGGTTCTCTGACTTTAGTATGCATCAAAATAACCAGAAAAGCTTGTTTAAAGAGATCGCTAGCTCCTAATCTCAGTGTTTCTGATCTGGTACATCTGGGATGAAGTCTGAGAACTTGCATTGCTAATAAGTTATCATAATTTCTAGTAAGTGATGATCTGAGATGATACTAGGCAGAATCAAAGAATTGGGTGACTTTTAGTATTTAAAGGGCAAAAGAGTGAATCAAAGACAATTGCTTGGTATTGAGCTTGAGGGCCTAAAGGAACAGTGGTGCTATTGAGAATGGACATGCTGAATTGTCTGTGTTGAATCTTGTAAATGGAAATGTCTTCCTGAAAGTTGGAGACATGGGAGCAGAGTAGAGATAAGAGTGTAGATACAGATCTTGAGGTCGTAAGGAAAGCGATGGACTTTAATGAATGAGCTTTCTAGGAAAAGTTTAGAGAGAAGATGACATATGAAGTATTAGGGACAGCTACTTGAAAAATGCCTGTAAAAACAAGAAAAGTAAGGAAAAACCCAAAAGATAGAAAAACCAAAAAGAACAAAAAGAAGGGGTTTGAAGGAAGGGATAGATAGTACAGTTAAATGCAATAGGTACTAAGGATGATGGATTCTTGAATTTGGTAGCAAATTGGTCAGTATCTACATACGCATAAAACATTGGCAGTAAATGTACCACAGTGTTTATGGCAGTTATTTCTGGGTGGTGGCTTCCAGGTAAACTTTTTTCTTTAAATGTGTGATTCTCAACTTTTCTATAATGAACATACAGTGCTTTTATCATCAGAAAATTTTGTTCCCAAAAAGCCACTGGTGACCTTCATAAAAGCATTTTTTTTTAAGTGGGGGCGTAGTAGCAGAAGCTAGATAACAGAAGCTTCTGGAGTGAGTAGGCAGTGAGAAAATGGAGGTGGTAAAAGAAGGGAAAACTAGAACAAATAGTCAAAGATTTTTTTGTTTTGTTTTAATGTACTAAAAGTAACCAATATAGTGCTTATGCTTTTTCCTGTTATTCTTTTTTGTTTATTCAATAGATATCTCAGATCTCAGTAAAGATATCTTGTTGTCCACGCCTTAAAATTCTTCGCCTGGAAGAGAATTGTCTTGAGCTCAGCATGCTTCCACAGAGCATCCTCAGTGATTCCCAGATCTGTCTGCTTGCTGTGGAAGGCAATCTTTTTGAAATAAAGAAACTTCGAGAACTGGAAGGCTATGATAAGGTATGAATTAATATACTTCTGCATTTCTAGTCACTACCCCAGAGAAGACAGTGGTGAAGTAATCCACATAAATGTTTATAGCTAATGTCAACAGGATTTGTTCTTCCCCATTTTGGAAGTAGATTTAAAGAATCGGTTTAATGGTATTGCACCAAGATGACTTTTTCTCTATAGACAGCTTATTGTAAACCATCTTTGTCTTCATCTTTGTCTTTTTATTTATTTATTTATTTATTTGAGATGGAGTCTCAGTCTGTCGCCAGGCTGGAGTGCAGTGGCACAATTTCAGCTCACTACAACCTCCACCTCCCAGATTCAAGTGATTCTCCTGCGTCAGCTTCCCGAGTAGCTGGGACTACAGGCATGTGCCACCACACCCAGCTAACTTTTTTTATTTTGGTAGAGACGGGGTTTCACCATGTTGGCCAGGATGGTCTTGATCTGGTCTTGATCTCCTGAACTTGTGATTTACCCGCCTCTGCCTCCCAAAGTGCTGGGATTACAAGCATGAGCCACTGCACCCAGCCCATCTTTGTCTTTTGATGTTTCCTGTTAACATAAAAAACAAAATTTATTTTTAACTATGTACTTTTTTTTTTTGAGACACAGTCCCACTCTATCGCCCAGGCTGGAGTCCTGTGGTGCAATCTCAGCTCACATCTCAGTGCCTCAACTTCCACCTCCCAGGCTCAAGGGGCTCATGCCTCAGCCCCTCTGGTAGCTGGGACCACAATCATGTGCCAGTATGCCTTGCTAATTTTTGTAGAGATAGGGTTTCACCACGTTTGCCAGGCTGGTCTCAAACTCCTGAGCTCAAGTGATCCACCTGCCACAGCCTCCCAGAGTGCTGGGATTACAGGCGTGAGCCATTGCACCTGGCCCTATGTGCTTTTTGTTTATTTTTTGAAACGGAATCTCACTCTGCCACCCAGGCTGGAGTGTAGTGGCACAGTTTCAGCTCACTGCAACCTCTGTCTCCTGGGTACAAGCAATTCTCCTGCCTCAGCCACCCGAGTAGCTGGGACTATAGGCAGGTACCACCATACCCAGCTAATTTTTTGTCTTTTTAGTAGAGACAGGGTTTCATCATGTAAGCCAGGATGGTCTCCATCTCCTGACCTCATGATCTGAGTGCCTCAGCCTTCCAAAGTGCTGGGATTACAGGCATGAATCACAGCGCCCAGCCTATTTTTATTTTTTTTGGAGACAAAGTCTCGCTCTGTCACCAGGCTGGAGTGCAGTGGCACGATCTCAGCTCAAG